ACTTAGCTGGATTTGTATTCGTTTCTGGGCTCCTGCCCATGCAGGCCCATGAGACTTCCTGTGCTCCCTGAATCAAATGGATTTCTTACAGTTCCATGTGGCCCGAGTTTCACAACACAAATATCCCTCTCTGAGGGGTTAAGAGTGAGGGCACAAAAATTTCTTGTCAGTGAACCAGCTAGGGAGGTTGGCCACTCATGTGGTATGGTGCATTTTTATTACTCTCTCAAAAATGTGTGATTAGTTAATATAGTCACATGGAACAGATTATAAAAGTTCAAAAGGATATTAAAAGGGACATTCTCCTTTATGTACCCAATCACCAGTATCCTGTTCCTACAGTGAATATTGTTACAAGTTTTCATGTATTTTCTCATAAATATATTATGGCAGATACTACTGGTTTTTGGTTTTCTTCCCAAATCCATTCTTCTTCGTCATTTTTTTTTTTTTTTTGAGGAGAGGAGGAATCTCGCTCTGTCATCCAGCCTGAAGCACAGTGGCACAATCTTGGTTTACTGCAGCCTCTGCCTCCCGGGTTCAAGTGATCCTACTGCCTCAGCTTCCTGAGTAACCGAGATTACAGGTGCACACCACCACACCCAGCTAATTTTTGTATTTTCAGAAGTGACAGGGTTTCACCATGTTGGCCAGGCTGGTCTTGAACTCCTGACCTCAGGTGATCCGCCTGCCTCGGCCTCCCAAAGTGCTGGGATTACAGGCATGAGCCACATGCCCAGCCTGAAGGGCATTCTTTCATAGTGGGGACAGGAACGAGCCCAGGCTGTTCTGGCCAGTTCCTCCTGACCTCAGGCTATGCATTCCCAGCACATTCTATAGTTATTCTTGAGAATTACAATGACAAAGCTGGGAGAACTGGGTCAATCTAAGGCCACCTGGAGAACTGCCCCGTAGTCCACCAGAAACCCAGGCATCCCCCTTAGCAAAACTGGTCAATTTCATATGCCACCAACCTCCCTGGATTTGAAGGCAGAGATTTGTCTCATCATTTCGCTATCAACTAACACAATCTCAGTGCAACATCACTGAGCCACAGCCAGAATCCATTTCATGAGGCCCAGGAGGACCCCTACCACAACGGAATGATCAGGGCTGCTTGGAGCATGACCTAACCTAGGACCCAGCGATCCAGATAAGAAGTTGCTAAGGAAGTCAAAGAAGGATGCTTCAGGTGGCCCCACTGTCTGCAGCCAGTGGGCCTGCTCCTAAATTTCCTCTACTGGTGTTTCTTTCTTTTTTTTTTTTTTTTTTTTTGAGACAGAGTTTTGCTCTTGTCGCCCTGGCTGGAGTGCAATGGCGCGATCTCGGCTCACTGCTCACTGCAACCTCCACCTCCTGGGGTTCAAGCAATTCTCCTGCCTCAGCCTCCTGAGTAGCTGGGATTATAGGCGGCTGCCACCATGCCTGGCTAACTTTTTTATTTTTAGTAGAGACAGGGTTTCACTATGTTGGCCAGGCTGATCTTGAACTCCTGACCTTGGGTGATCTGCCCACCTCGGCCTCCCAAAGTGCTGGGATTACGAGCGTGAGCCACCGTGCCCTGCCTACTTGTGTTTCTATGAAACCTGATGTGCTTATCCAGGTATAGTGTGGATAACCCCCCATATAGGCACCGAGGAATGAGAGCTAAGCAGAACCCTGGCACAGTTAGGGCTTGAGGAATATCTCACTTTATAGTGTTACTACTCAGCTATTTCCTTTTATATAATCCTTTACATAATCATATATTAGTTTATGGAAATAGGGCTTGAAGAATCCCTTTATATAATCCTCTCTATATATTCATATAATAGTTGATAGTATGAGTGCCTAAAGAATATTTCCCTACATATATACCTATAATTATATCTTAGTTCATAATCGGAGGAATGCCCAGAGTGGACACAGTACAGAGCATGAATTAAGGGATAAGTAGCTTATAATTGGAGGAATGCCTGGAGCAGACACAGTGCAGAGCATGATTTAAAGGAAAACAGTTATACCAGGACAAGAATCCATGGCCCAGGCGGCAGCGTTCAGTATCGTAAAGACACCCACTGTATGGCAGGCTTGGGGCGAGAGCCACTCCTCCTGATAAAGGAGTTGTAGGACCTTGCTCCAGTTCTTGTGGAAGGCTGCCCTCAGAACGGCAATCCACCTTGGTGACTGTGAACTTTATCAGCTCTTGCTACTGTGCTGCTTGAAAAGCATCTTTAGAACCCATTGGAAGCTGCCAGAAGGTGGCAGTAACCTTGACAGCTCTGTCACTGCTATGTGACTTAAAGCATCCTCCTATAAATCTTCTTAGAAGTAGTTTTCCCATAGATAGAAGTATCGCACACTGCACCCTCTTCACTGTGCATGGCCCACCTTCAAGCCTCAGTGACCTAATGGGGGTGGACCCTATGTTTTATTGCTCACGACCCTATCACTATCCTTAAAGATGATTTCACTCACTGCCCTGCCCCCTAACCTATACACAATAAATACTCATGCTTCTGGACATTCAGGGCCTCACCTGACTCCGCTTATAGGTGGCGTGGCTCCCCAAGCCTAGCTGCGTTTTCTTTGTACTTCTGTGTCCTGTCTCTTTATTTCTCAGATCCTGCACCTCAGCACAGCATAAGGCTCACCCCACAACCCTGTGGGGCCATCAGCCATACATCTGGCTCACAACGTGCCCTACAGTATAGCAAGAGGTGTTAACAATCACACGCACCCCTCCCACTTGGGCTAAAAGAAAGTCTAGAGCAATATTGGTATGTAAAACAACCTTCCCAAGGGAAAAGAGGGATGCCTGCAGGGCTGCCAAGACAGTGGTAGTGAAGGAGGCAGCATCTGCCATGGTCAGGGACAGATTTCTTATCATTCTTGTATGAGCACTGACTCCTAGGAAGGTACCAAAGAGCTCATAAAGAACATAAACCCAGAGTCAGTTACACCTCCTGGCAGGCTCCCTAGTTAGCCTGGTGTACAGCTTGGGCTGCTGGCCCAATGCTGCATCTCATTCCCAGGCGTGATATCCAGTGGCACCCCCAGCCCATACAATGTGCAGGATCTCACCATCCCACCAGCATTCTACTCTCTGTTTTTATGGGTTTTTTGTTTGTTTGTTTGTTTGTTTTTTTGAGATAGAGCCTTGCTCTGTTGCCCGGGCTGGGGTGCAATGGTGTGGTCTTGGCTCTCTGCAACCTCCACCACCCAGATTCAAGTGATTCTCCCACCTCAAACTCCCAAGTAGCTGGGATTACAGGTGCCTGCCACCGTGCCCGGCTAATTTTTGTATTTTTAGTAGAGACAGGGTTCCACCATTTTGGCCAGGCTGGTCTCAAACTCCTGACCTCAGGTGATCTGCCTGCCTTGGCCTCCCAAAGTGCTGGGATTACAGGCATGAGCCACCAAGCCCAGCCTATGGGTTCAATTTTTGAAAAAAAAAATAATAATAATAATAGATTCCACAAATAAGTGAAATAAGCCAGGCACAAAAAGACAAATACTGCATGATCTCACTTAACATATGGGCCTCCAGGTTCATTCATGTTGTCCCAAATGACAGAACTTCCTTCTTATTTTATTATTTTTAAAAGATGGGGTGTGGCTATGTTGCTCAAGCTGGTCTCAAACTCTTAGGCTCCAGCAATCTTCCCATCTCAGCCTCCTGAGTAAATAGCTAGAACTACATGTGTACCACTACACCTAGTGATAGATTTCCTTCTTTTTAAAGGCTGAAAAGTACTCCATTGTGTACATATACCACATTTTTTTTAATCCATTCATCCACTGATGTATACTTATCTTGATTCCATATCTTGGCTATTGTGAATAACAGTGCAAAGAACGTAAGAATGCAGGCATCTCTTCAACATACTGGTTTCATTTCCTTCGGATAAATACCCAGTAGTGAGATTGCTGGATCATACAAGAACTCTATATTAAGGAACTCTATACTGTTTTCCATGATGGCTGTATCAATTTACATTCCTGCTAACAGTGTGTAAGGACTCCCTTTTCTCCACATCCTTTCCAACATTTGTTATCTTTTGTGTCTGTGTGTGTGTTTTGAGATGGAGCCTTGCTCTGTTGCCCAGGCTGGAGTGCAGTGGCACCATCTCGGCTCACTGCAACCTCTGCCTCCTGGGTTCAAGTAATTCTCCTGCCTCAGCCTCCTGAGTAACTGGGACTACAGGCGCACACTACCACGCCAGCTAATTTTTGTATTTTCTGTAGAACAAGTTTTCAGCATGTTGGCCAGGCTGGTCTTCAACTCTGGGCCTCAAGTGATCTGCCCGCCTCAGCCCCAGAGTGCTAGGATTACAGGCATAAGCCACCGCACCAGACCCCAAGATCAAGACTTTTGACTGACTTAGACTGTGCTGGGAGAGCATTTAGTGCAGGAAGTGGGACCCACACATCTTGCTGGATGAAGAGTACAATTAAAGGCATTGTCTGTTGGAAGAAAGCTCTGCAAGGAGCTGCCCTATGGACAGACTCAGAGGGGCATTTTTGGGATTCTGGAATCTCCCATTGGCCACCCCTTGGCAACTCTCACCCTATGACTGGACCTGGGCCTTAATGAGTGCTTCTGTAATGAGAAACCTCTATCATCAACTCTGGTTACTTTCAAGTGACAAAGGCAGGATAAATGCTTGTCTTTCTTTATCAGGTTTCAAAATGGGTTGCTTTCTTAGCATCGTCCAGAGATTTTCTTTTTATTTAAGGATCACTATGAACTCATTGATTTAAATATACCTGATGTGTTTTAATTCATTGCCATTATTCTTTTTTTTTTTTTTGAGACTGAGTTTTGCACTTGTTATCCAGGCTGGAGTGCAATGGTGCGATCTTGGCTCACTGCAACCTCCGCCTCCTGGGTTCAAGCAATTCTCCTGCCTCAGCCTCCTGAGTAGTTGGGATTACAGGCACGCGCCAAAGAACACTGATGCCTGGATCTATCCCCAGAGATTCTGGTTTAACTGGACTAGGATCTGGACTGAGCAATGGTTTTGTTCTGTTTTGTTAAGTGTGAGGCTCCCAGATGGGGCTCAATCCTGGCTATAATTATACTGTATTTGTCTTTATACTTTTGCCATCTATATATGGGGCTTACACAATCCTGTTTGCAAGCCTTACAAATTTATATAAATTATATTCTAATGGATGTACATTCTGAAGCTTGTTTTTTTCCTTAGCATTGTTTCAGTGCATCCAAGTTGATACTTCTACCTCTAGTTCATTCACTGTAACTTATAGCACAGTAAAACCTTCCACTACCTCATCATTTTCTGCTGTAAAATGATCAAGAATTCGCCAGCAGTTAGTTGTCCAGGAGAAAAATCGTGAAGGTAACCTTGACTCCTTTTTTTCTTACATCCTATATCCAAATAGTTCAAGAATCCTCTTAGCTTCTCTTTCTGTCACATCCTACATCCAACAGTTCAAGAATCCTCTTAGCACTGCCTTCAAATATATCCAGCACGACACTTCTCACTATCTTCTCTGCTCCCACCTGGTTCCCACCACCGTTATCTCTTGCCTGAATCACTGCAACAGCCTCCCAAATGGGCTCCCTGCTGCCACCTTTGATTCTTTAAAATCTGTTCTCTCAAAGCAGCCAGAATAATAGATATCAGATCATGTCACTCTTAAAAACCCTCTTGACAAATTCCCATCGCTCCCAGTACAGTTCAGAATTGGCTCCTATCCCTATTGCTTACTAGTGTATGGGTTGACCTTGACCATCATTACATAATACAGAAAGGTGACCAGGTACAGCTGGGAGAAGCATGTCCTTGAAAGGACCTCCACATACACCACTAATCCAGGGATCTAACCCACTATCAAGCTCCTATCCCTATTCTAACTTGTGTGTGGGCTGACCTTGACCATCATTAGGTAATACAGAAAGGTGACCAGGTACCGCTGAGAGAAGTATGTCCTTGAAAGGACCTCCACACATACCCCTAATCCAGGGATCTAACCCACTATCATCCTCAAGTGTAACTGTCTTCAAAACAAACAAAATGACAAAGAAGTCCTTCTCTTTTAAGCGCAGAAAGGATTTGAAGAGTTACATGAGAACAAGTCTACTTTCTTTCCTCGCCCCTCCCAAACATAAACTCACGAATACATACCACGTTGCTTGCCCCATGGGGCACTAGCCACCCAGAATGGAGGGAGGGCAGACAGGGCTGGGGAGAAACCTCAGTCTCTGCCTCTGACTGCATCCACCCTCTATCCTCAACAACCCCTGGAGCCTCTTCCCCACAGCTCACCTCCCCCGCCCTCCACTCCCCTACACTGCAATGGTATGCCTTGCTCTGGGAAAGAGAGAAAGTAGACACAGGCATTGCTTTTGAGAAATCTGCATGTTGGGAGAGAGAAAGAGAGAACATAGAACCAGATGAACAAAACAGACTGGACTCTTACCTGTTCTCCCCTAGTCATGCTTCACTATCCAAATCTCTGCCTTGAAACTTCCTCCAGCTGGGACATGCACTCATGTCCACACCATCTGTGACCCTTGCCACTTCCAGGGCCAAGGGAAAACTCACCCTCCACCCTCTGAAGACCTGCTGAAAAATCACTGATAAGTGGTAGATTAACAGGAGAAAAAGCAAACAAATTTGTTGGATCATAATTTTATCTGAGCCTTTGGAATGAAGACCTAAAGATACAGGGAAGTTGTCCATTTTTATGCTTAGGTTCAACAGATTTTGGACTGTGTAGAAATGTGATTGGACAAGAAAGGTCTAATACTAATAGACTGAGAGGTGAAACCCAGCAAGGCCTGTCTAGATTCTTCTTGGCCTCTCTGTTCCTTCCTTCTGAGCATGGGGTGGGACCCTCTCTGGAATGGGTGTCTTATGACAGTCAAACACAGTGGGTCAGATCATTTCTGACCATTTTTTTTTTTTTTCTGCTAGCTCCCTTTACTCCAGCTCTCTCTCTGACCAGTTTTCACACAGAAAGGGGAGTGGGGAGTGAAAGGACTATTTTTAGGTTTTATGGCTGGCTTTGGGTAAAACTGGTTTTGATGACGTGCCTTGGGGAAGAGATTCTAGTTTCCATGGCCAGCATTGGGGGAGAATAAGAAGCCAGAAACAAGAGGGCAGGAGGTCAGAGAGAAACTTTTGCTTCCAGGGCAGCTTCTGAGGCCTTCATTTTAGGTTATCAGAGATGACTGGGCAGCCGGGCTCTGGATAAAGTATACCAGTGTGTGAGTGCTGGTCTTCTACACTTGCTGAGCTCTTTTAAAGGGTGTTTTTCAACCTTGGATGCATATTGGAATCACCCCAGGAGCTTTAAGAAATATTGTTGGCCTGGAGCTGTAGCTCATGTCTGTAATCCCTAAACTTTGGAAGGCTGAGGCAGGATGACTGTTTTGAGCCTAGGAGTTCAAGACCAGCCTGGCCAACACAGTAAGAGCCTGCCTCTATAAAAAATTTTTTAAATATTTGGGTCTGGTACTCCACGCCTATAGTCCTGGGTACTAGGAAGGCTGAGGTGGGAGGATATTGCTTGAGCCCAGGAAGTTAAGGCTGCAGCGAACCATGATCGCATCACTGCACTCCAGCCTAAGTGACAAGCAAGATTCTATCCCAAAAAAATGAAAGAAAAATGTTGGTTGGGGCCTACCCCAGAGATTCTGATTTAACGAGACTGGGCATCAGGAATTTAACACCCCCTGGCACCCCGGGTGCTTCAACTGTGTATCCAAGATGGAGAACCACTAGATTTACAGCAAGGACATTTTATTACATTCTTTCTAAAGTTTCTTGCATTTTTTTTTTTTTTTTGCATATGGATTCTCTGTTTATCAAATAAACAAAAAGGAACCCTGTAAATGCTTGTCAAAGTCTGCTGAAGCTTCAGGCCCAAAGCCTACAGAGATTAATGACTTATTTGTATGGTCTTTTAGAACCTTGCTTCTCAGTGGGACTCATGAACCAGCAGAACATCAAGATCACCGTGAATCTGTTAGAAATGCAGAGGCTGGCCAGGTGTGATGGCTTACACCTGTAATCTGAACATTTTGGGAGCCCAGGAGTTTGACACCAGCCTGGTAAACATAGGGAGACCCCCACCCCCTGCCATCTCTACAAAAAAAAAAAAAAAATCTGTTGGGTGTGGTAGCATCCACCTGTAAGCCCAGTTACTTGGGAGGCTGAGCCTGAACAGGAGTTTGCAGCTGCAGTGAGCCACGATTGGGCCACAAACTAAACTCCAGCCTGGGTGATGCAGCCAGATCCTGTACCTAAAGAAAAAAATGCAGAAACTCAGGCCCACCCAGACTGTTCTACTGGAATCTTGAGAGCTGCAAATCATTGATTTTCAGCACAGATGATTTTGCCCACCCCCGACACTGACTTGAACAAACACTAGCATAATTTCTAGCAGCTCAAGGCCATGTTTCAGGGATGGCCCAGGCCTCCTTGGGTCCCTGCCAAGGGAAGCTCAAGGCTGCCAAAACAATTTACCATTTGTTCCAGCCAATGCAGATCACAGCCTTTTTTTTTTTTAAATTGCATTTTAGGTTTTGGGGTACATGTGAAGAACATGCAGGATTGTTGCATAGATACACACATGGCAGTGTGATGTGCTGCCTTCCTCCCCTTCACCTATATCTGGCATTTCTCCCCATGCTATTTCTCCCAAACTCCCCACCCCCTGCTGTCCCTCCCCTATTTCCCCCCGACAGACCCCAGTGTGTGATGCTCCCCTCCCTGTGTCCATGTGTTCTCATTGTTCAACACCCCGCCTATCAGTGAGAACATGCGGTGTTTGATTTTCTGTTCTGTGTTAGTTTGCTGAGAATGATGGTTTCCAGATTCATCCATGTCCCTTCAAAGGACACGAACTCATCGTTTTTTGATGGCTGCATAATATTCCATGGTGTATATGTGCCACATTTTCCCTATCCAGTCTATCATCGATGGGCACTTGGGTTGCTTCCAGGTCTTTGCTATTGTAAACTGGATCACAGCCTTCCAACCTCCCTCTTCTTTTTTTGAGAATGAGTCATGCTGTGTTGCCCAGGCTGCAATGCAATCGTTCGATCTCAGCTCACTGCAACCTCTGCCTCCCGGGTTCAAGCAGTTCTACCACCTCTGTCTCCTAAGTAGCTAGGAATACGGGTGTGCATCACCATGCCCAGCTAACTTTTGTGTTTTTAGTAGAGATGGGGTTTCCCCATGTTGGCCAGGCTGCTCTTGAATTCCTGACCTCAGGTGATCCACCCACAATGCTAGGATTATAGGGATGAGCCACAGCACCCAGCCTCTCCCTCTTCTTAGAGGGCTTACTTCATAAAATTTATAATTGTAAATCTTTTCTGACCCTTTGAGAGATACCAATGTATCTTCTGCAGCAAAGGAATGTGTTTTTCTTTTTCTAGGAGCCATCCCTTTGTCATGTAATTATCTGGAATGATAAGGCTGACTCCTGGTCTCTGTGGGAAGCTAGTATCCTAACTTTGATAAACTTGTTAGTAGACACAGATAGTCTAATCACATGGACCAACCTCCTTACCAGCTTTTTGTAAGTTTCCACTTCCCCAGTTCTATTTGTACCTCCTCCCTCCCCCTTTAAAATTCCATCACCTCTGCACAGATTGGAGCTAAGCTCAGTTCTATACTGAGGACTCTCTCCTTCTGCAGTAGTTATTGAGTAAAATCTGTCATTATTGCCTTTAGTGTTCAGCTTTTTAAGGCTCCATTTTAATAAGGTCATAAAAAGCCCTGAATGGTGGGAAAAAAATATGCCCATTTTACCAATGAGAGAGTTATATCTTTGCTTAAGATCACACTGGTAAACTAGAAATTGAACATGCTTCATGACTCAATCCAGGGCTCTTTCCAAAATACACGCTAATCAGAAAGGGAAGACCACATTGCACATGAGGACCCAAGGGAAGAAAGTTGGTGAGAGCACTCACAAAAAACCAAAAAGGTTTCTCTTGATGCATCTCCATTGGTGCAATGCCCTCTGAGGCTTTTTTTTTTTTTTTTTGACATGGAGTCTCACTCTGTCGCCCAAGCTAGAGTACAGTGGTACGGTCTTGGCTCACTGCAACCTCTGCCTCCTGGATTCAAGCGATTCTCCTGCCTCAGCCTCCTGAGTAGCTGGGATTACAGGTGTGCACCACCACACCCATGTAATATTTCGTATTTCTAGTAGAGATGGGGTTTTACCATGTTGGCCAAGCCGGTCTTGAATTCCTGATATCAAGTGATCCATCCACCTCAGCTTCCAAAGTGCTGGAATTACAGGCGTGAGCCACCACACTCAACCTCAGATTCTTCCTTAGTTGCAAGAGAACTGTTTCAGCATCAAGTGTCTTAGGTATTAAAGTTTTAAGTTTAGGTACTGACTTATCCTATCGGTAGCTGGAGTCCCAGGGATGACAGGTACCAACTGTGTGCAAGTACTGAAGGCTGTGGTCTCAAAAGCTGTAGAACCTGTAATCCCAGCACTTTGGGAGGCCGTGGCGGGTGGATCACGAGGTCAAGAGATTGAGACCATCCTGGTCAATATGGTGAAACCCCGTCTCTACTAAAAATACAAAAATTCAGCTGGGCATGGTGGCGTGTGCCTGTAATCCCAGCTACTCAGGAGGCTGAGGCAGGAGAATTGCCTGAACCCAGGAGGCGGAGGTTGCGGTGAGCCGAGATCATGCCATTGCACTCCAGCCTGGGTAACAAGAGCGAAACTCCATCTCAAAAAAAAAAAAAGCTGCAGAAGCCCAGCCCTTCCTGGCCTGTACACACCCCGTGCAGCCACTACTACATGAAATCAGATATAGGCATGGTCTTAGTGGGTCTTAGTCTTGAACCACTCGCCCCTAACTCACTCTGCAAACTCAGTCCCGATGTTCTCCTACTTTCCCAGCTTTACCTCCAACGTCTGTATCCATTCTTGCTTTCCGGGGTAAACAGTGACTCCCTTCTCCTCCTAGCTGGGCCGTCCTCTGGGTAAACACTATGTCTGTTTCCACCTCCACCTTTCTACTCCTGGGCCAGTTTGATGCCTTGATGCACTCCAGCTCCCTGGGAGCTCTTGCTGATCTCACTCAAACTTACACAATGAGATTCAAACACAGAAGATTATGAAATTAAGTTATACTTCATCCTCTTTCTGTCTTTTCTTTTCCTGATTTGTCATGTTAGGCTAAAAGACCCAGAGACAAAGAGTTACCAATTTTATACACCAAAGTCATTCCTCTAGGAAAGACAGCAAAATTACTAACATGAATGATGGGATGAATTCTTCTGGTCATTTTCAAACCACTTTGATTACTATAACCAGAGGAATTCCCCCAGGCACTTTACCCCTCAGCCATGGAGAATGTTGATTTTTTACTTTCAGCCAGCATTATGGTAAATACATTTTTATTATTAGTTTTATCAGAAAAGCTTATACATACAGGTGATTTCTGATGCATAATTTTATTAAAGCCAGAGATGGTCACTTCTTCTAGAGAAATAAATCTCTGAGGTGAGAATGGAAGACAATGAAACAAGCGACTCCACGTTATAATTTACATTTGTCAAACTATCCCAGAGCATGCCAATTCTATTATGAAAGTACTACTTTGACATTATGAATCAAATTAACAGAAACACAGAAGCCAAAAAACCTTAAATTCTGTAATCTTCAAGTCAATCATCACTTTTCTTAGGTTTTTGAAGACCCGAAAAGAAAAATAACTTCAAACACCAGCACTCAAACAACATACACATTTGTAATCAGGCACAGCAATTTTTTTTTTTTTTTTTTTGAGATAAGAGTCTCAGTCACCCAGGCTGGAGTGCAGTGGCCTGATCTTGGCTCACTGCAACCTCTAGCTCCCAGGTTCAAGTGATTCTCCTACCTCAGCCTCCCGAGTAGCTGGGACAACAGGTGCACGCCACCACACCTGGCTGGTTTTTTTTTAGTAGAGACAGGGTTTCACCAAATTGCCCAAGCTGGTCTCGAACTCCTGATCTCAAGTGACCTGCCCACCTTGGCCTCCCAAAGTGCTAAGATTACAGGTGTGAGCCACCATGCCCAGCCCAGCAGTCAATTTTAAGTTTCATATTTTCCAGGTTTTAGCTTAATAATTCTCATTACTTTTTTAGATTTCTGTCAGTTTTGTTTTGGGGCTATTTTGCCTTACTGGGCCTAAACAGAGTATTAAAATACATTCATTATCCATACTAAGAATAGAGTATAAGTGGGTTTCTCACTCCTGAGGGACACAAGTGGAAACAACACATCCCATGAACATAGGTGAATGCCCCTGGTTATCCCTGAGCTGGGTAGTTTCACACAATCATTTCTTCTCTGAGGCCAAAGTCTGTGGTTTGATCATCTTAGCAGCTTCCAGAACAGAAAGTAGGTTTACTTTGTCTCCAAATTCTTTTTCTCGGTGCTCGAGAAGAATGCCCTAAAAGGAAACAAGAGGTAATGTCAGTCTTCATTCTAAGTCATTCGTTCATCAGACAGACATCGAGGGTCAGCTGTCTGTCAAGCCTTGTGCTTGAACAGCAAAGAACAGAGATCCAAATATGGCCTGGCTCCTGCCCTCAAGTTCAGTCTTTGGGGAAGATAG